GCCCCCCCTGCAATGGCTCTGCGCCCCCCCTAGGGGGCGGGCCCCACACTTTGGGAACGTCTGCATCAGGTAATGACAATAAAGAATATAATGCAAGCAAGAGCTACTGAAGGGGTAGCTTCCGCCACCACGGACAAAAATGATTGTGTCAGAATGCCATTTAAGCTGTCCGTTAGTGAAGACATATAATACAATAAACTCTTAATTGTTTTAAAATCTATCTGCCTATGTTAAAATAACCAACACATTGTTGTGTTTAAATAGCTGGTTTGAAGTGTTGTAGTATCATGATAGATTTATTTAGAGCACAGAACATAAAGCAAAAACTGAATAACATTTAAAATGAAGTTAAACTGAAAGTACTTATTTGAAAAAAACTAAATAAAAAGAATAATATCTAATTATATGAGTATATACTTACACCAGTATTTACATGGTCCTTCATTAAAAGCATCAGTATTCATATTTTTTCATTTATATTTATATTTGTAAAATTGATCATTGGTTGTTATAATACTACTACTACTACTAATAATAATAATAATATTAATAATAATAATAATAATAATAATAACTGTGTCCCTTTCCCCCTTAATAATAACTGCGTCCCTTTCCCCCTTGATGTGTTTTTTCTTCAGTGCAGCTGTTAGAAGAATACACTTAGCATACTCTTAGAAGAGTTCACGCTCCAGTACTAACAGTCATCTAGACTTCTTCTCTTTGGATGAAGCTTAACTGTCCATTTCACCTCCCAGTAACGCACACGTTGCTGCTGCTTCAGTCTCTCGGGATGATCAGGACACAGCTCATCCACTCACATACACTGTCACCATTGCCAAGATCATCATTCCCAGCTGTAAATAAGAGAAGAAACGGAGATTAATATTCTGTTTACTGAAACTCAGTTTATCCGCAAATGTGCGGTGTAACCGCTGTCCTCTCAGCTCTCATGTTAAGATGTTGGAGTGAATATATTGAACTTCACACAGAATTTCTGCATCAAGTTTGTTTCACTCAAAATCACAGTGGAAATGAACCAATGAGAATCTTTAATACTTCATTGCACTTTAATGGTGAGATTCTTGCTGTTTAAATGAAACAAAGAGTTTCTGTGCATTAATGAACATCTCATCAGCTAATAAATAAACATGCAGGCTGTCACTGAATATATCTAGATGAAGCCACTGACGGGGAAAAAATGCAAATGCAACTCTGAACTTCAAAAGAACTTCTGCTCTGTATGAAGACTAGATGCAGATACTAGATTATTAAATGTAACAGTGGTTCTCTGAACAACAGTCCGCAGTTTTATGCTCCCACAGTCTGATGAATGAGGACCTGTTTCTTTAAATCTTATAAGACTGTCAGCTAGAGTCCAAGTTTATATCCTTAGACTTGAACACAACAACAGCAATCATCTTTACAACAACTCAAACACATGCTCACAACAAAAGCTACAGTAAGCTGCAAAACCAGCAGAGGGAGATATTTTATGTCAAGCCATCATTATCATTTTTATTTATAAACAACCTTAAAACAAACATAGCTGATGCAAAGTGCTATAGATTGGAACTAAATAATAACATTTACATAAGATATAAATAAAAGCCAAATAAAGGAAAAAAGTAAAATAATTAATTAGTTAGTTAATAACTAATTTAATTCAAAGCCAACACTTGGATGGTACAGATTTACAAGAAAATTTTGATTATATACGTGTTGACCTTTCATAATAACTGTGTTTAGTACAATACCAATCAACCTTTACTGACCTTGGGGTATCCAGTTTATACTGTAGACTCCTTACAAGTTTAGAGAGTTGCTTAATGTCTGAATCCTGCAGGTTGTTGTCACTCAGGTTTAGTATTCTTAGATGTGAAGGACTGGACCTCAGAGCAGAAACCAGTGCAGCACAGCTGATCACTGACAAATTGCAGCTCCTCAGACTGGATAAACAATAAAACATCTACATATAATCAGTGATAATTATATCAAATGTGTTCAGGTTACTTCCCCAATTTTTGTCAGTATGTAAACTGTACTGCACGTGGGAAAAGCTACTGAATAAAGTCTACTCCAACATTAAACAAGGATACAGCACCATAACAACACCCCACCTGCGCTACTTGGACCAAACATCCTTGTTTATGTTACCAGCCTGCCTACCAGAAGGAGTACACCACATCTGTACTCTGCTATATCTAGTACTGCACAGACACCATCACCATGGCATCTGGGTGTATGCCAACCAAAGGTTTGGATGGCAAGTGCAGTTAGGACCCTGCTGAGGAACAGAAACACTGCTTTCAGGTCTGGTCATGTGGAACTGTACAGTTCAGCCAGAGTAAATCTAAAAGAGGGCATCAGACAGGCCAGGCTGGATTATAATAATAAAATTGAGGACTACCTCCACAGCAACAACTTGAGTCGGCTGTGGCTGACTTATTAATTACAAACCCAGACCCAATGCTGTGTAGTGACCCTGTGCTTCAGGTTGTTGTCACTCAGGTTCAGAACATGAACCACTTCTTTTGAGAAACTGGCCAAAAGTTATATCATCCAAGAACTTCCACCCACATTCGACAACACCAGTTTGCATGCAGGGATAAGAGATCAACAGACGATGCCATAGCCACAGCTCTAAACAGAACCCTGACCCATCTGGAATACAAGGACAGTTATGCCAGGCTTCTTTCATCAATGTCAGCTTGGCATTCAACAAAATCATCCTTAAGAGACTGATAACAAAACTTATCAACGTTAGCCACCCACACTTCATTTGACTCTGCATTAGTGGCTTTCTCAGAAACCACCCACAGAGAGTCACAGTAGGGTCTCACCTCTCCCCAACACTCAGCCTCAACATCAACTTAAAACAGGGATGTATGCTAAGTCCCCTACTGTATACGCTACACCCATGATTGAACTCCCACCCACCGAAACAACTCTATCAGTTGTATGTTTTTAGGGTTGTATGTCCTCTTTTCAAACTTGCAACGTGCAATCAATAATCAAGCACACACACATATCTACATATGTTAATATGTACATATTAACCTCCTAGGACCTGGCGTCCACATATGTGGACATCACATTTTGGGTTATTTAGACCAAAATACTAAATTTTGCTCTACAAGGGCCTGATATCCACTTACGAGGACATTATACTGCTACTGTTCTATCGAAATTTAAAACGAATATCCTCATATGTGGCGCTCATTTTTCTTAGAAACAAAAGAGAAATCAAAAATCAAAGAGAGAAATCAAAAATGCATGCCATGGAAGATTTCAGGTCTTAGGAGGTTAAATATCTACATATTTAAACATGCTTATACTGTATTTTTTTTAGAAACTTTTATTTTCTATTTCTTTATTGTTATGAATAGATTGCTTTCTTTGCTTTCCTTGTTTTTCTTTGCATTGAATAGAACAGCATATAATATCAGTGTGTTTTTTGCATAATGACAATATAAAAAAAAGATTCTAACGATTCTGATTTAGCTAAACATTACTTTGTCCTTATTAAATGAGCAATCCCTAATTTCTGATTTTCTTTGTGTCTGTGTGAATCCATAATGTAATTATGTATTACGGAATTACAGAAAGTGAACCAACCTCAGAGTCTCCAGTCTACAGAGAGGAATCTCCAGAAAACCACAGAGATGCTTCACTCCTGAATCCTGCAGCTTATTTACACCCAAGTCCAGATATTTCAGATTGGAGGGGTTGGCCCTTAAAGCAGAGACCAGAGTAGCACAGCTGATCTCTGACAAACTGCAGCACCACAGACTGAACAAAGAAAAAAAATGTGGATAAAATCAGATACAATTCAGCCACATATGGACAGTTTTTAAATTTGCACATAAACCATACTTTCCCTCATCAGTAAGAATTTCTTATTCATTAATCATTATCATTTTTTTCAGTTTTGAAGGAGGAAATTAACTATACTATACACATAAATTATAAGATTTTGTGATAGCAGACAGTAAGAAAACTGACATCAGAGTCTCCAATCTACATAGAGGAATCTCCAGAAAACCACACAGCTGCTTCACTCCTGAATCCTGAATCGTGTTTCCACCCAAGTCCAGATGTTTCAGATGGGAGGGATTGGATTTAAGAGCAGAAACCAGAGAAGCACAGCCAATCTCTGAAAAACTGCAGAGCTCCAATCTAAATAGAGAATAAAACATGCAGATAACATATATTTTGGTCATTTATACATGGAACTTATGGAAGTCTATCAAATTTAGGTTTTTCAGTAGTCACAGAATAGGTTAACTGACCTCAGAGTGTCCAGTCTACAGTTTGAACTCTCCAGAAAACCATATAGTTGTTTCACGCCTGAATCCTGCAGGTCATTAAAAGCTAGGTCCAATTTTTTCAAATGGGAGGGGTTAGACTTCAGAGCTGAGACCAGAGCAACACTGCTTTTCGGTGACAAACCGCTGAGCTCCAATCTAAGTAACGAATAAAACAATAATAAACAAATTAGATGTGGAAAGGTTGGTAATTTGAAGTTCAGGGAATCTTCTGTACACTGATGTGACTGTTTAGCAGGCATATGAAACATTTATTTAATTTAATAACTAACAGTGGCCATTCATTTCAATATCTGTGCCCAACACTAGTCTTTAGTGACCACAGACCAATTTATATTCCAATAAAACGTTGATTTTTAAATGGATGCTACACAATGGAAATGAATTAATAATGAAATTTATAATAGTAACAGAGAGTAAGTGACCTAACCTCAGAGACTCCAGTCTACAGTGTGGACTTTCCAGAAAACAACACAGCTGTTTCAGTCCTGAATCATCCAGGTTGTTGTTGTAGCTCAGGTCCAGATCTTTCAGATGGTAGGGGTTTGATTTCAGAGCAGAGAATAGAGCAACATGGCTGATTGCTGACAAACTGCAGCTCTCCAAACTGAATCGGGAATAAAACATGTTAATATAATGTTTTTACCTTCTCTCAATCAAATGAGTACTTAGTATCTGTCTTTCTTTCACTTTCACTTTTACACTCATGTTTGGTCAGAGCGTGAAAAGGTGCCCCTTTTATTTTTTTTTAATTGCATATTTGTCATACTTTAAAATTAAAGTAATTTTAAATGATCGCTTTAGTTTTAATATTGCACTGACCTATTATTCAAACAATATTATGCACACCAACCTACTCCTTTGTGAAAAAAATAATAGACATGGGTTTCATAGACAATTGTGAAACTTTCTGTGGAAAAACTGGTCTTGTTGGGAAAGCTGGCATTCATCCTACTTTAGATATAAAGGACATCATTTCTATCACATCATTTCATCATTTGGTCAAATTAATAACAAAGTGATTATCCTGATTTGGTACCAGGAAAGAGAGTTGCAGTCTCACACACCTCTCTGAAGTTTCTCTCTTTATTTTATCCCCACAGAGACTGTGTCTGCTCCCAGATCATCATCAAACAAACCAAAAATGAGCATATTAAAAAATAATAATATAACACCCTAAACTGCTTCAAAAACTAAAACAATTAAATGTGGACTATTAAACATTAGATCTCTCTAAGTAAATGATTTAATAATTGTTCAACATATTGATTTATTCTGCCTTACAGAAACCTGGTTATGGTATGATTAAAATTCAACTAACTTTCAGAATCCTCAAATTTAGTTCAGTTCAATTAGATTTTATTTATACAGAGCCAAACCTCAAAAACAGTTGCCTCAAGGCAATTTATATTCTAAGGTAGACCCTAGAATAAAAAAGCACAGGCTGAGGAGGAGTGGCTGCAATTTTTCAATCCAAATTATTTATCAACCATGTTTATGAAGCCAGTTTTAGTTCTTATCTGTTGCCCTCCTGGTGCATACTCATACATACAGAATACCTTTCAAAATATTTTTTGGTTGGTCTGTCAATTTACTTTCCGGCCTTTATTTTGCACTCTAAAACTTGAGTTAACGATTAAACATGTATATCTTTAAAATTATTGACTGAGTTGAATATTTAACTGGTCTTCGCATAAAAATTAATTTCAGAAATTTGTGATAGATACATTTAAAAAAAACATTTGAGTATTAAATTAAAAAATGTAAAAAAAACATTCCAGCACCCCAGCAAATAAAATCACAAAACAAAATATCATTGTTATAAGTTTTGAGTACTCTGTGTCTGTCAGGTTTCCTCTTGCCTTTTGATAGTCCTTGTCTCTTGTGTATAACGTTCAGTTTGCTTCCCTTTCCTCTTATGTCTAATTTGTTCCACCGTGTTTCCCAGCTGTCTCCACTCCCTAATCTTCCCCTTGTGTATATACTTTCTCAGTCTCTGAGTATGGAGGTCTGTATGGGAGCTGTTAGTGCAGAACACCACATGAAGTAACTAAAGGCAAGACAAGCTGAAACATGGCATTGCATCAGGTAATGTAGAGTGTAGGATTTAACCTATTAAACTATGTGCACAATCTGGTGCCGAAATTCGAGTCCTGGATACCCAAAACCAACATACCGTAAAGGAACTGAAAAAAGATGGGTCACTCCATCTGACAGCACTAGAGTCAGGTTATAAGGGGAAAGCTTTACAGTTCAATTTTTTGAAATATCTTCAGAAATAGTAATCAGTGAACTGACCTCAGAGTCTCCAGTCTGCAGTTTGGACTCTCCAGAGCAGCAAAAAGGTTTTTTGACTCTAAATCCTGCAGGTTGTTTCCATTCAGGTTCAGCTCTGTCAGATGGGAGGGGTTGGACATGAGAGCTGAGGCCACGATTTCATAGTGAGTCTCTGACAGTTTACAGCCAGAAAGTCTGTGATGACACATATTACAGAACAAGTTATTATAAAGAACTAGTGTTTTGTATGGCATGTTCCAAAGTAAGATATCATTGAACAAAAGAAAAAGAGCACAATGGTGCAAACTGAATCCAGACAGAGACAAATTAATATCAGCTCTTTCCACACATCTGCAGACAGAATGCTTACACAAACCTAGTGAAGTATACAGTGTGCAGCCAGAGGCGGAGTTCAACTAGTACCAATAAAATCGGAATAACACCTCTGAGCGCAAATTGGATCACATCTTGGAGAAGCTCACTGCGGTCGTGAGTTCTCAGAATCAGCTCTTTGAGCACAAGAATGACAAGACCACGGAGCGTAAGTTTGATAACATCATGGAGAAGCTCACGGCTCTCCAACGGGAGATTGAGAGACCAGTGTCGGACTGTTAGAACAGCTTTGAAATTCATATGAGTTGTTCGCACTAAAGCAAAAAACACCATCACTTCATGCGGAGACCCCTTCTGCGCCAGCCGCGGTCTCAAGGCTGGAGCTGAAAAAAAAACACCCTGATAACGACTGTGTTTAGACTGTTCTTCCCATTCTATGCAAGGCCACCTGGGTTGGCTGGAAGTAGGGCTGGGCGATATGACCCAAAATTCATATCTCGATATTTTTTTAGCTGGATGGTGATATAAGATATATATCTCGATATTTTTTTAAAGCCACAAAGTAAGAACAAAAAGAGAGTTCTTAGTCAAAGCTGTGTTCCAGATGTCACACAGGCACCTTTATTAACATACAGCATAGATGTACATGAATAAATTACTCAAAAATAAATTATGATCATTTATTAAATAATAATGCTCCATAAATAAAATAAAACAATGTTGTTTTTGTGCATAACAAAGAGGTCACAATTGTGCAGTCAAAATGTAAACTAAAAGATGCTGAGAATAACAACAAAGACAGATTTCCCAGCTGCTCTGTTCCCAACTTCTACTGCGTGACTGACAGCCTGGAGTTTGAAATCCGCTTCATAGCCATGTCTCTGAACAGGTGCCATTTACACACACAATACGGTAATATTACGTTGAAGCACAGTACGTATCACTCCGCGAGGCTCCTCTGTAGCCGTAATGCTCCGACAATCCATCAAGCGGTGCAGCTCCGTAGCTTACCAAAGTCGTACTAAAACATTTTTTGACAGATTGCTGCACGTCTTGTACTACTTCAAATCGGTTCGCGTTCATCAAGCACAACCAGAATTCATACATAAGGCGCGCTGTCAACTTTTGAGAGAATGAAAGGATTTTAGGAGGGGCTGCACGGCGTTAGCGTGGTTTGCTCGTTAACGTGTTAACCTCGTTCAGCCCCACACACGGGGCGATGCGCAGTAACTCATTAATGGAGATTTGCCGTGTCCATTTTGTCGCTGCCTGTAGGTGAAGCGATGGGGGAGGAGGGGGAGTTGTGTTCAGTGAAGGAGAGAGGCGAGGCGGAGTAACGTTGCGTAGAGACAAAAGTGGACGAAAGAGAGGCAAACTTGTGGCTCCACAAGTATAATTATAACGTAACATAGACTATATCGATATCAAGGATATTGTCGCATCTTATATCTTGTATAAAAATATATTGATATTTTTTTTAAAAACTCGATATATCGCCCAGCCCTAGCTGGAAGACTGTTTACTTAGCCTGGAAGGGCGAAGGACACTGTCTCAGCTGAACTCTGGACACATACACACACACACACAGACATATATACACATACAGATGTACACTCATCCCCCCTCCCCCTCCAAACGCTTTCGACGCTTATTCCCCTCCAATGCTGACGGTGGATCAAGGAGACCAGCGCATAGGCTGCAGGCCCGGATGTACTGTCTACATTGGCTATCTCTCACCCTTTACCCATCCCTGTTGCTTGTCATGTGTTTCTTTGGTGTATTAAGAGTTTTTTCATGTGCTATGTGCAGAGGTGTTTTTTTCTGTTCTCAAACTGATCTCCCTGTTGGAGCTCAGTCTGGGGGGAGTTCAATCAATATTGATGAGCAGTTAGGCTTGTAGCACTGTAACCTCAATTTCTAGGTACAATCAATATGCCGATTTTAAGTCTCTTTGCACAAAATTTCATCTTTGGTTTTTGTTTTTGATGCTATGCTTAAACATTAACAACAAAAACACAGACACTAAAAAAAGTTGTTAACTTCAATTCAATTCAATTCAATTTTATTTATATAGCGCCAAATCACAACAAATGTCGCCTCAAGGCGCTTCATAGATACAGAGAAAAGCCCAACAATCA